CCTATCGCAAGATACGCGGCATTATAATGGCAGTGAATTAGAAACCATGTAAAAAACTCATTTCCGTCATAAACGGCTAACGATACGCCTTAGGGTGGAGAGGAGAGGTTACAGGGTGCGTCGATAATTTTCATTTATCCCGTAGCTCCTGCCCAGCTTCTAAGCTTGGTCCTGAGGGGTACCCCCGTATCTTAATATAGCACAAAATTGAACCCTACTGCAACTCTCTGTTAGCGCACACCAGCAGGATGAAACAGGAGAAGCTTCTCAGGTTCGTTCAAGAAGTCGTTTAGCAGACATGAACACATGGGACAGAACTCAACGGCATATAACTGTACTCGTTGATTCCGAGCGATCACATGTGGTATTGGGTCGTGAAGAAAGTTCGGTTAGGTCATTTTTTGAAGCCTTGAATACGGCATACTCCAAGAGCAAATTTGCATGATTTCCTTTTTCTAGCTCAAAGCAGGCCAGTATGGAGAGGAAGCAGGTCAAGATATTATAGATGCACTTGCCAAGCTTTCGTAAGAATAGCGAGAGCCCTAAAGATTGTGAGGGTGGTGATCGGAGATTGGACAACGCCAACGATTAGTCGAACGTTCTGGTTGAAGCACGTTTGCACAAATCTATTGAGAGGGTTCCTCCTAAACTGATCGCACTTGCATTGTGTTTTCTTGTTGTACGGGAAGAGCTGGAAAGTCCCAAAAATTCAAATAGGGCGTGCCGCGACAGCTCACCATTTTGAAGGGTCGTTCGCCGCGTTCTAGCTTGTTTCATGCCATGAAAACGACCTGACTTTTTGATCATTTGCGACGCACGACAAAGAACGGATTCTTTGCTACAGAATACGAACCTTTGGTGAAGTGATCGACCGCGATCAGGCTCTACAAACTTTGCAAAAGTGAAACTTCACTGAAGGAAGGTTGAGGTGACTTTCATAAGGTCAGCGGCTGGTCTAGCTTTTCGTAACCAGGTGGATCTGTTAATGTGGAAAAAGTACTCCTGATAATGTGTCAAACTTACTCCTAGAACTCTGGCACATATGCTCGAAATTCCTCATTATAAAGGAACCGGCTCGTCCCTGACAGGTAGCTCGGACGCACATTCCACAACCAACCCTGCAGAAGTTGGACAAGATTGGCTACGAATTAGTCCTGCGAACATCCTACTCGGTAGACCTTTTGCCTATAATTTGTCACTTTCTCGACTACCTGGATAGCTTTCTCTCAAACCGATAGATAAGCCTCTCGTTACAACTCACACAGCGCTCACGTCTCAAAGGTGTCAAACGCTTGATCAAGCTGATACATGTGAGGCATAGAAGCGTCTTGCACCCTTCGATGATCTTCCGTGCGAAAACTAGTAAATGAAACAACAGACATTGCGGACAAGGTTGGAATAAATGCAAAAGAACGGCGTGCCGACGAGAAGCCGAGCACGTGGTCATTAAGGCATGAAAGCCGTCATAAATTCTGGAGTGATTGTATCGAATAGGGCAGTAACACGGTTACATTTCTTCTCAAGCGATGGAATTCTTACATGGACCGAGACAGCAGAATGTT